TGATTCGTGCCTCGGCCTCCCAAAGTGCTGGGATTACAGGCATGAACCACTATGCCCAGCCAAAGGTCTTCAGGCTCTTCCAGAATCCTCTCCAGAGCTTCTCAAGCTTTCCAGGAATAAGTACCTTTGGGGAAAGGAGGGGCAGAGCTCATGAATACTCCCTAATCTTTTTGGAAGAATCCCCTGGGGCACTTGTTAAATATGTACTCCACCAGACTTCTCCACAGGAAACTGATTCAAGATGGGTGAAAGACCAGAAATCTGCATTTTAACAAGTGTCCCAAAGGATTCTGATTATACCTCTTTTCCTAAGATGCCTGCCACAGCTCCTGCATGCTCCACCTTCTTCCAGGCAGTGTGTGGTCTTCTCTGCCTAGCCCCCTCACCCTGCAACCTGTCCCCTTCCAAAGCACCCTCCTTTTTCACCTAATTCAAAGCAAAGCGTTTCTTGACAAATTCAGCCATACCGATTTCTCTTCCAACTCCCGCTGCAATTAGTCATGTCGCATTTTACATGTACTGTTCAATAAAGCTTGTGGATAAATTGCTATCAATTCATCTTATTTGTTCTAAGTAAAGTCTAGTGTTGAGACAGCAAGCAAGGTTAAATGATTTGCAAATGTTAAGTGTGTGGAATGTGAATCTGGAGCCATGGTTATTAATCCCAAAGAACCCCAGTTCACCATATTTAAACTGTTGCCGTTGAATCCTAACAGAAAAATCATACATTAGTTTTCCCACAAGGAAAGCAATTTATTCCATAGCAGCTTGATAATTACAAGCTTTCCCATTTCTTCTCTCATCAGCAGTTTACTCACATAGTTAAAGGACATATTAAATAAAGCTGCCTTCTCAAATGAGTTGGTGGCATTTGCCTTTAAAATTGTACCATGAAAAAAGCAAATGTTCTAATGGTAGAGAACAGTAGCTCAGCCAACTCTTCATTCTCTGAGGAGGGATGTGGAGGATAGCATTTATAAACCCACGGATGACTTCCAACTGCGTTTGTTTCATCCAGTACAGTAACTGTGGCAACTGCTACTTCTTATGGGGGCTGCTATCCTTGCGAAAAGAAAGCCAAACACCGAGATCATCCCCAAGGTCACCTTTTAATTCTAAAAACCTGGAATCTGATAACTCCAAAGGGACTGTACTTATCTTCCCAATAACCACCAACTGCCAAGGGGCATTAAGTTATGCAGGAACTGACTAGCAAATGTGGACAGGTGTTGGGACTCACCACTCCCCATCAAAAGGCTCAGGAGTGGAGAGGAGTTTTCGGCTCCTTAAATGTCTCTCTCACATATGGGTGCCAGATGTCCAAATTTGAGGGCATAGAATAACAATCTGGAGTTATTCTTTTTGTCATTTCATTTGGTTATGTGGAATCCAGGGCCCATCATGAATGACTCAGACTTAATAGGTCTATAGTAGGATCTAAGAATCTGCATTTTAAAAATGCACTTAATAGGCTGGGCGCAGTGGCTCATGCCTGTCATCCCAGCACTTTGGAAGGCAAAGGCAGGTGGATCACCAGAGCTGATGAGAGAGCCTAGGCAACGTGTTGAAATCCCGTTCCTACTAAAAATACAAAAATTAGCCCAGCACAGTGGTGTGTCTGTAGTCACAGCTACTCCGGAGGCTGAGACAGGAGAATTGCTTGAGCCTGGGAGGTGGAGTTTGCAGTGAGCAGAGGTGGTGCCACTACCCTCCAGCCTGGGCAACAGTGCGAGACCTTGTCTCAAAAAAAATTAAAATTAAAATTAAAAAGTACTTAGTGCTGGCTCTGAGGCTCTTTGGAAAACAATGTCCATTTTGCAAAGTGCCTCTTCTCTCACCCTTCCTCATCTGTGTCTCATGCCTTTCTGCATTTATGCCTGCTTTTTCCAAACAAAATGCTTTATAGTAATCTCTTCCAATACTAACCATGCTTCAAGAGCCAGCTGAAATGCCATCCACTTCTAGAAGCCTAAAAGGGACTTCCTGCTTTCCTGCACCCTTGTGCCATTTCCAAGTCCAGAGAATAAAAGGTGTTTCATTTCATTAAACAGCCATTTCTTTGTGCAAATCTCATCTCTTACTGGGCAGTAAACTCCTTAGGGACTGACTAAAAAGCTCTTGTTCTTTTTAGCTCCTATAATAAAGCACCTACATTGTGTGAGACATTCTGTAAAGATCTGGAATGAGTGAACAAGCAATGAATGAATCAATGCACGCACATGTTTCTTCCAACAAGCCAAAGCTAAAACTGCATGATACAGGAAAAATGTCTAGACTTTACAGTAACTGCCTACAAAAGTTTAAGTACCATAAAGTCCTTCAATTTCCTAATCTGTAAAACTAGGGGGTTTCAGGAGATTTCTTAAAAGAAGTTCATTCAACACTTTTGAGTCAAAAGCCCAACATTCCAATCTGACCTGATATTTATTACTCAGATAACAGTAATTGCTCAGATAACACAGCCATCTCTATCTGTTTTACACAAGCTAACTGTATTCCCAAGAGGCACCTACTAACCCTGCCTCTGAGACTGAGGGAATTTAAGATAAAAGCTGGTACAAAAGACATCATCTCGTTTTCTTTTACTTTTCCTACCTCAAACCTAACAATGTAGTTCTTAAAATTTCCAGCAAGAAAAAAGTTATCAGGTGGTATACCCATTCTGGCAGTTATTTCACAATGTGCCACATTCCTACGAAACTGGGGGTGGGGGTGGGGAATCTAACTGTCAAGTTTATTCTAAGGAACAATATAGTTCAGAGTCTCTAGCAACCAATTCAACATCCTAATTTTACAACTAAGTTGGGCGTGGTTGGCTTCCACCTGCAAATCTCCACTACTCCAGAGTCTGAGGATAGCCTGAGGCCAGGAGTTTGATACTAGTTTGGGAAATATCTAAACATCCGCCAGCAATGCAAATAGAGTTTAAAGTACTGGCTTCAATCACATTCCAGATAATCGTTTTATATATATACATACATATAAAAATATATGTATATATATAAAACGATTATATATATATAAAATGCATATATATATGCATTTTAAAATTTTTATTAATTTTATTTTGAGACGGAGTTTCACTCTTGTCGCCAAGGCTGGAGTGCAATGGTGCAATCTCCAGAGGTTCACTGCAACCTCTGCCTCCCGGGTTTAAGCGATTCTCCTGCCTCAGCCTCTTAGCTGGGATATTACAGGCGAGTGCCACCACGCCCACACCCGTTGGCCAGGATGGTCACGAACTCCTGACCTCAGGTGATCCAGCCGCCTCGGCCTCCCACGGTGCTGGATCACAGGCGTGAGCCACCACGCCCGGCCTATTTTTAAAACTTTATAGGCCGGGCGCGGTGGCTCACGCTTGTAATCCCAGCACTTTGGAAGGCGGAAGCGGGCGGATCACCTGGGTTAGGGAGTTCGAGGCCAGCCTGACCAACATGGAGAAACCCCATCTCTACTAAAAATACAAAAATTAGCCAGGCGTGGTGGCGCATGCCTGTAATCCCAGTTACTCGGGAGGCTTAGGCAGGAGAATTGCTTGAACCCGGAGACGGAGGTTGCGGTGAGCCAAGATCTCGGCCATTTCACTCCAGCCTGGGCAACAAGAGCAAAATTCCCTCTCGGAAAAAAAAAAAAAATGCTATGTATTGCCTAGTTTTGAAAGAAAAAATTTATCAATGTTAAAAGTATAATTAATTTGTATGTAATTTGTGGCCACGGTAATGTGTGCCCAGGCAGAAACAGAGGTGGCTAAAAAGGGGAAAAAAAAGGGTAATTACTATGATGTATAAAAACAGCTGTTGGTGAAACTAAAGCCTCACTTTTACAAGATCTTAGGTACACAGGACACAAAATTATGTTAAGTATTAAGAGTTGAAGTCAGGCCGGGCGCGGTGGCTCACGCCTGTAATCCCAGCACTTTGGGAGGCCGAGGCGGGCGGATCACGAGGTCAGGAGATCGAGACCATCCTGGCTAACACGGTGAAACCCCGTCTCTACTAAAAATGCAAAAAATTAGCCAGGCGAGGCGGCGGGCGCCTGTAGTCCCAGCTACTCGGGAGGCTGAGGCAGGAGAATGGCGTGAACCCGGGAGGCGGAGCTTGCAGTGAGCCGAGATCGCGCCATTGCACTCCAGCCTGGGCGACCAGCGAGACTCTGTCTCCAAAAAAAAAAAAAAAAAGAGTTGAAGTCTCCAAAAAAGAAAAAAAAATCCAAAGAAACGTAAAATGACCGGGTGCGATGGCTCGCGCCTGTAATCCCAGCACTTTGGGAGGCTGAGGTGAGTGGATCACGAGGTCAGGAGTTCAAGACCAGCCTGGCCAAAATGGTGAAACCCCGTCTCTACTAAATATACAAAAATTAGCTAGGCGTGGTGGCGGGCGCCTGTAATCCCAGCTAGTCGGGAGGCTGAGGCAGGAGAATCGCTTGAACCCGGGAGGCGGAGGTTGCGGTAAGCCGGTATCCTGCCACTGCACTCCAGCCTGGGTGACAGAGTGAGACTCCGTCTCAAAACAAAAAAAAAAAAAAAAAAAAGAAAGAAAAAGAAACGTTAAATGAATCAATGTGTTATCACGACTTAAAAAACTTAATATCTAGACCACGAAAGCCATATGAACAAATAAGCATCATTTAGATTTTTTTCCATAAAAATTTCCGTTAATTTCCGTGCAATAAAAAGTGTAACCAAAATAGTAACTCGTAGCCTCGGAAGGGGGAAATTTAACGTAGGTCAAGAGCAAGAAATTCTGAAAGCACGGCCTCCAAGGGTCAAGCGAGAACCTGAATACAGCCTCCCATTTCTTACCAGCTTTGATGCAAGCCCCAGGCAAGTCGGGGGACAGGGAAAGAGGAAAAAGGGAACAGAAAAGGTTGCTCCGGGAAGGTTTCAGGCCAGATCCCACGAACTGCAGCCCCGGGCTTCCCATTCATTCCGCGCTGTCTCCAGGTGGCGGCCGAGCGTTGGCGGCCGTGGCGTTCTCCGCCCAGAAATGGGGTGCACTCACCTGTTCGGGAACACGACCTCGCGGCGCCCGAGGCCGCCGAGACCGCCGCCAGCAGCCTGGGGGATGAGGGCCTGGGAGCAGACGCCGGCGGGGAAAACGGGCGGCGCAGCCCTGGGGCGGGCAGGCGGCGCAGGCCGGGCGCGTCCCTCTGCAGCAGGGCCGAGCAGAGTCGCCGCGGACTATGAAACATGCCGGGCACCGCCGCCACCAACGCGGAGCCCGGCTGGGGCCGAGGGCAGCGAGTCGAGCCGACTGTCCGAGCAGTCTGGGCGGATGCTCCCAGGCTCCTTCTCGCGCGGCGCAGGTCCTGGGGAAATCCCGGGCAGCAGAGCCGGAGAGTGAGGCGCCAGAGCGCTGCGTCGGCACCGTCTGCTGTGAGACCTGGCGAGAGCTGCAGGCCGCTCGGCTAGCGCTGCGCGCTGACAAAGCGGGCGCTACCAAGTGGGAGGTGGAGGGGGATCCGCGGGACCCGGCCACTGCGCGGCCACGCCGGGCTCCCTCGACCCGGCGTAATCCTGTTTTAAAAGGAAGCAGAGCTTAGGCTGATTTATCGGGTAGAATCTGTAGGAGGTCTAAAGTAAGAGATAGCCGTTGAAGCAGTTCTGAAGCAAAAAGCGTCCCCTTCCGCTGGCCAGCATGGAAACGCCCACAGGCTGGGAATCCCGAGACAGTTCCAGGGCTGTGGCCCAGGGGACACGTGTCTGTCAGAGTTGCAGACGGCGTCCGTGTGTGCATGCGCGGGTCTGTGTGGATACAGCAAAAGTCGTCCGCCTCCGACCCCCTCGGCAGGATGTGTTGCGTTAAACGACATTAAGCACAATAAAGCACCGACTATGTGCGAGGCGACGGTGATTAAAACAGCGTCCCTTTCCTCAGAGGTGTTACACTTAGGCAAAGGGAGCAGAAGAAGGTGGCAAGGGAAATCAGATCAGAAAGCTCAACAAGGTAGACTGAGATTAGTGCCACAAGATGCCAAAGATTGGCGATAGAGATGACAACAGGCCCGGGATCTCTAGAAGGTACATTAGAAGGATTGGCATTTGAGTTGGCCTATGACGTGAAGGTCTAGAATTTACCCACGTGAAACTTTGGTGGGGGCGGTGGTGAATTATAAATGAAAAAAGTAAATAAGGGTGTATTTGGGGAAACAACTCTTAGTCATTCATGTAAGATGGAAGCTAAGGAGTAAGAGGACAGATGCGTGGATAGGTTGTAGTGTAGAAGGAGGGGGATTATAGTAGGCTTAACTCGGTAGATAGCTTCGAGCCGTTGACGTTTTGTAAGCTGGGCAAGGATATGGTCAGGGCTGTGCTTTAATTGGAAATCACATGTCTCTGGTTCATGAAAAGGCAGAAAGGAAATCAGCTGAGATAACATACTGTAGATCTGCATCAGGTTACTGTTACTGGAAAAGAAAGGATGGAAGAAACATCTCAGATAGGCTGGGCAGGAAATGATGACTAATCAGGAATAGAAATGGGATGAGGGGGAGGGAAAACCCAAGACTGGATTCTTCTCTGAATGATTCATGAGTTAGAAATGTATTCTGTTGGTTTTCCCATGATTTTACTGATTCCCCTATGTTGTGGAATTGCAAACTTTTCATCACAGGAATATTCTAAATATTTTTCAGACCTAGAGGTGTCTAACTCCTAGAGGGTGTGGACAGATCAACTGGCACAAGTTGATTACAACTTCTGGCAGATAAGCTCCTTGGAAGTCATTAAAGCCTCAATTTCAGTTTCCTTATCTATAAAACATAGAATCACACCTTAGTCATTAGGTGAAGTAAAAGGTGATAATAAGCTACTCTGGGCACACTGCCTACGGGGTAGCCCTGCTCCACAAGGAGTAGTACTTGTAAAAAGAAAATTTTTTTTAAGGTGATAATAAAATTAGCCTATGAAAAGTGTTTTGCAAATATAGCAAAATGTTGATTTTGAATCTAGGTAGTGGGTATATATGGGTATAGGGACCATGGGAAAAATGTTCCCTTTGCCCTCTGAAGTTCACTGAAAAATCATCTCACAAAAGGCAGATTAATGGGAGAGAAGGCATATGCATTTATTAACGTGTGCACAGGGAGAAACACATGCCCGACGGGGTTCAGAAGCTTGTCTACCATCCTGGCAAACAGACTTGGGGAGAGAGGAGCAGAGGCATTGTGTTGAGGGGATGACTAGGGAAAGTGAATGGATCAGGGCACAGGGATGAACTTGCACATTATCTTGTGAAAGGGTCTTTTCGGGTGGTTACATTTTTGGTCTTACAGAGAGGGGAAGAAAAAACAATTGTTCCTTTTGGTGGGTCTGGATCGTAGCCAGATAAAGGAACTTCAACTTCATCCTGTGCTTTGGGAGAGATGGTGCAGGGCAGTGAGGTCAGAGAGACCTTGAGGCTTCCATTCAACATGTCAAAGCCCCACATTTTGGGGTATCGGTTTCTGAGTCCTGACACGAGTGTTCACTTACAATTATTTTTCCTCCATATATTTGGAGATTTTCATAATAAAATGTTGGGGGAAAGTGCTTTGAAAAATGAAAGATACTGTTCAAATATAAACTGTCACTATTTAAAGAGATCCAAAGAGCATGCTATCCTGAAAGTGCATCGTAGTTTTTATTTTTATTTGTTTATTTATTCGAGACGGAGTCTTGCTCTGTTGCCCAGGCTGGAGTGCAGTGGCATGATCACGGCTCACTGCAACTTCTGCCTCCCGGGTTCCAGCCATTCTCCTCCCTCAGCCTCCCAAGTAGCTCTGGCTACAGGCACGTGCCACCATGCCCGGCTAATTTTTGTATTTTTTAGTAGAGACAGGGTTTCATCATATTGGCCAGGCTGGTCTCAAACTCCTGACCTCAGGTGATCCCCTTGCCTTGGTCTCCCAAAGTGCTGGGATTACAGGCATAAGCCACCGTGCTCGGCCTGAATAATATTTTTTATAATATATTAAACACTAAGCAATCAGAAAGATAGAAATTAAAACTTATTCCCTTGAAAATTTATTCAGTTAACATTTGTTGAATATACATTATGTGCCAGGCTCTATATTAGAGCATATAAAAATAAATTGAACAAAATCTATTGACAGTTTAGGGGGTAAGACATTGTATAAACAAAAATATTTGTAATTATCTACTAATAAATACAGAATCACTATATGGACAAAGTATTGTGGGAACAGAGAAGAGGAAATGTTACTGGAAAGGGTCACAATCCAGACCCCAAAAGAGGGTTCTTGGATCTTGCACAAGAAAGAATTCAGGACAAGCCCATAAAGTGAAACCAAGTTTATTAGAGAAGTAAAGAAATAAAAGAATGGTTACTCCATAGGCAGAGCAGCACTGAGGGCTACTGATGGCTTTTTCTTTTTCTTTTTTTTTTTTAATTGAGCTGAAGTCTCGCTGTCACCCAGGCTGGAGTGCAATGGCATGATCTCGGCTCACTGCAACCTCCACCTCCCGGGTTCAAGCGATTCTCCTCCCTCAGCCCACGGAGTAGCTGGGATTACAGACGCGTGCCACCGCACCCAGTTAATTTTTTAATTTTTATTTTTAGTAGAGATGGTGTTTCGCCATGTAGGCCAGGCTGGTCTCAAACTCATGATCTCAAGTGATCCATCTGCCTCCCAAAGTGCTGGGATTGCAGGCGTGAGCCACTGCGCCCAGCCTTGTTGGCTATTTTTATGGCTATTTCTTGATTACATGCTAACTATGGAGAGGGTTATTTGAAAATTGTCTAGGAAAGGGGCAAGGATTTCCCAGGACTGAGAATTTCTCCACCTTTTAGACTACATAGGATAACTCCTGGATGTTGCTGTGATATTTGTAAACGGTCATGGCACTGGTGGGAGTGTCTTTTATCATGCTAATGCATTATAATTAGTGTACAATAAACAGTGAGAACAACTAGAGGTCACCTTCATCACCATCTTGGTTGTTGTGGGTTTTGGCTGGTTTCTTTTTTTTTTTCTTTTGAGACGGAGTCTCGCTTTGTCACCCAGGCTGGAGTGCAATGGCACGGTCTTGACTCACTGCAACCTCCGCCTCCCAGGTTCCAGTGATTCTCCTGCCTCAGCCTCCCGAGTAGTTAGGACTATAGGCGCATGCCACCACACCTGGCTAAATTTGTTTTTTTTTTTTCTTTCTTTTTTGAGACGGAGTCTCGCTGTGTCATGAGTCTCGCTGTGTCGCTGGAGTGCGGTGGGGAGATCTCGGCTCACTGCAACCTCCGCCTCACGGGTTCAAGCAATTATCTGCCACAGTCTCCTGAGTAGCTGGGATTACAAGCGCCCATCACCACACCCGGCTAATTTTTTTATATTTTTGGTAGAGGCGGGGTTTCAGCATCTTGGCCAGGCTGGTCTTGACCTCCTGACCTCGTGATCCACCCGCCTCAGCCTCCCAAAGTGCTGGGATTACAGGCGTGAGCCACCGCACCCGGCCGGTATATTTTTTAGTAGAGACTGAGTTTCTCCATGTTGGCCAGGATGGTCTCGAACTACTGACCTCGTGATCTGTCTGCTGAGCCACCGTGCCTGGCCAGCTGGTTTCTTTATCACATCCTGTTTCATCAGCTGAGTCTTTATGATCTATATCTTGTGCTGACCTCCTAACTCATCCTGTGACTAGGAATACCTAACCTGGCAATACAGCCCAGTAGGTCTCAGCCTGTATTCAAAATGGAGTTGCTCTGGCTCCAACACCTGTGACAGAAATAACTAATTGCCTAGAGAAGTCAGGAGAGGTGTTTTGAACAAAGTGACTATCAAGTGGAAAGATATCACAGAGGATATCCACAGAGAAGAGAACACTAAGGTGAGGAAAGAAGGCATGTTCCAGGAACAGCAAGTACTACCATTTGATAAGGATTGAGTGTGGGATATCCATAGGGAGTGGCAGCAGATGAGGTGGAAGCTGTGGGCAAGAACCTAAGGTGACGGGTTTGAGAGGAGTTTGAACTTTCATCCTAGTGACTCACTGAAAGGCTAAACAGAGAGGTTGCATTTTTGAAGGATCATTGGATCATTCTGCCAGCCGTGTTGAAAATGGGTTAAGGACAGTGAAGATAAGGAAGAGTGTATACAGGTTCAGAATCTCTGGAGATGGGGCAGGGTATGTAATGGTTATTTGTTTGTTTATTATTTAATTTTTTGAGAGACCTCACTTTGTAATCTAGGCTGGAGTGCAGTGGTGCGATGATAGCTCACTGTAACCTCAAACCCATAGGCTCAACCGATTCTCCTGCCTCAGCCTCCCAAGCAGCTGGGACTAAGGGCATGCACCATCATGCCCAAATGATTTTTTAAATTTTCTGTAGAGATGGGGTCTTGCTGTGTTGCCCAGGCTGGTCTCAAACTCTTGGCCTCCAGCGATCATCCTGCCTTAACCTACCAAAGCATTAGGATTACAGGTGTGAGCCACCATGCTGGGCTTGTATGTTTCCTTAAGAACATTATACAGGTGGTTCTGATGCACATCCCTCTTCCTCCCTCAATGCCACCCCCCAAATAGATAAACTGGGGCAGGATGGTGAAAAGGAGATGGATTTAAGGACTGCGAAGGAGGCAGAAACCGTAGGGTTGAGTGACTTTGAATCTCGGGGCTGAGGCAGGAGATAATGGAATCTAGTGATGACTTTGGTAACTGATGGATAATGGAACCAAATGGG